CCCTCCTCCCTCTCATGCTCTCTGTCTCTCATTCTCTCTCTCTCAAATAAATAAATAAAAAATCTTTAAAAAAAAAAAAAAAGAAAGAAAAGCCCTGGGAGACTGCCTGGGCTGTGCGTGCCCTCTGGCCTCGGTGGTGCTGCAGGAGGGCACCGTGTCTGTTCTTGCCCCTCAGCAGCAAGGCTGTGGGAGAACGCTGTGACCACTTGCAGCCTCCAGCCCCAGTCTGGCAGCAGGAGCGTGGAGCAGCTCACATGCCCGCTGGCTTTGGCCAGGCAATGGGAGAACACCGGGACCGTTCACCCCACGGCAGTGGGAGAGTGCCCTGTCTCTGGGCGCTGCCTGCGCTAGCAGGGAGAGAGAGAGCAAAAATTGTGCTCATCTCTGGAGAGCGTCCCACCTGTCCCCCACCCCTCTGGCAGATGCTCGAAGATTAGCAAATGAATCTTCTTCACATACAGTCTAGATGCTTTTCAAACTTGCTTTTGTCCTGGGTCTCTATGTGAGAGAGACCACATGCCTCTTGGACTTAAGTAAGCCCCACTGTTTTTTCTAAGTGAGACCTTTTGGGGGCCCATCTCTCTGGTGCAGGTCCCAAGGGTTGGGGTGCCTGGTAGGGGGCACAATCCCCTCGCTCCTCTGGGAGAAACTGCCCTTGTGAGATCCCTCCCTGCTGTGGGTCTCTGTGCTGGGCGGGGGGGGGGGGGGTGCGGCTTTTGCGAGACCGTGTCTCTGCATCTCCTACCCACCTCGGTGTGGTCTTTCCATCCTTTGTTGTGGAGGGGCAGTTCGGCCGGTTTTCAGCTCTTCTTCAAAGGGAGTTGTTCCATATGAAGCTATAGATCTGGTGTCCGTGGGAGGAGGTTTGTTCGGGGTCTTCCTACACCACCACCTTCCCGCGCAGCTTTCCATAAGGCTGTTGGGAAGGAGGTAGGCTGACTTATATGGGATACTCAAATAAAGAAATGAGTATTCTTTCTATTAGTGCCAGACTGAATCTTCACATATTTCAATCTTTTGGTGTCGTGAGGTGTTTTTTTTTTTTAAATTTTAACACAGAATTGGTATTTGGAACCACCCATTTCGAAAATGATGAACAGCCTGTTTGGCTCAGGCTCCCACTTTTCAAAGCAAGAATGGGCTGGTCATCGATTACTTGAAAACACAAGAGAGGGTGTTTCTGTTTGTTGGGGATGGTGCACACAAGGACATCGTAGAACCTAGAGGAAGGGAGGAACATTCGTCTGGTGTGAATCTAGGAGAATAATCAAAAGACTTGGGGATTTGAAAACAGCTCCTAAGTGTTGCTGCAAATGTGTGGGTGCCCTGGACAAAGATCACGAGAGGCACCCACACTGTGTGGGGCGGCGGCTGGGTTTTCTCTCCCCCTTTGTCAGGAGGGTTGTGTTTATTGGGCCCCTGACATTAATGTCCTCAAATTTCCTGTCCCTTTGCAAGGCTTAATTTCAGTCCCTCATCCAGAAAGAAGTGAAGTTGTTCAACCAGATTTCTTTGCTCCCGAACAGCACACCTTGTATTTGGACAGCAGCTTGCCAAGTCACACTGACTCAATCAGAGCTAACTCCGCACATTTCACGCATTTCATGTCTCTTTGGTTCGTTGAGGCCAATGTCCTTCAGGCTTTGCTTTTTTCTTTTTCTTTCTTTCTTTCTTTTTTTTGATTTTTAAAAATTTATATATATATATATATATATATATATTTTTTTTTTTGCTGGTACAGCTACTCCAAAAAACAGTATGGAGATTCCTCAAGACGTTAAAAATAGAGCTTTTTTTTTTTTTTAGTGCTCCGGGCTCAAGACCTTCAGGCTTTTCTTATCTTGAGAGGGAAGGACAGGGAGTTGCTGGGAGCTGCCTGGGCCCTTGAAAGAGGAGGTAACAATTCCCAGTAACATCTAGAAAGGTCTTAAGATTTTCTTCCCTCCTTTCAATCATCTGTATGTATTTGAAGTCTAAAGGTAAACAGTGCCTGGTAAGGGGTTAAATGCATTGGCGTTTTTTTGTCTTCAAAAAGTTCACTGTAAACTAAAAACACAATGAAAGGCGGAATGAGGCTGAGGCTGGGAAGGCAGCCTGTGTTGAAATCTGCACCCAAGAGGGCCTCATGCCCTGGCCATTGTAACTCTACCCTCTAAGTACACAAAGTGTGATTTCTAAAACCCTAGCTTCCTTATTGTGAAATAAGGATGCTTTTCAAAATACCGAAGATAATTGCATTACGAGG